GAGAGGGAGAGGGAGAGGGAGAGGGGGGAGAGGGAGAGGGAGAGAGAAAGAGAGAGAGAGAACGCTCCCATCTCTCAAGCATCCTCCTCCAGTTTGCTGTGCCTGGAACACACCAGGCCAGGCTAGCCTCAGGGTTTTGCCCTTATGAATCTCTTTATCTAGACTGTTCCTTCAGCTTGCCTTGACCCTTGACCTCTTCCTGGTCTTCTCCCAAATGTCACCTTCACAGGGAAGCCTCTTTTCATCCTGTTTACTGCTGCAATACCTCCATCCCCACTTTCTAGCATTTTTACCTTACCGTTTTCTCTGAGACTTTTTTTGTTTTTAGCATTCTCTGATAGTCAGTTTATTACCTATAGGGATTATGTTTGCGGCTGTTGTCCAAGTGTCTGGAATAGGGCCCGGCATATAATAGGGCCAGGTCAGTGTGAATGCTTTTCCCTCACTGCTTATATGCCTACTGCCTGACACAGTAGCCAGCAAGCCATGGATGCTGGGCAAATAACTTATTACTGAAGGGAGCTTGACGCACTTGCGAACTAGGTAGCCTGCTCAAGGGTATAGATGCAGAACAAGGGTAAGAACAGAAGGGCAACTCAGCTGACTCTGCCCTTTCATTTCACTAGGGAGGGACTGACCAGTCAGCTCGCCTATTTGGGCAAGACTTTTTGGAAATGCCTGTAGCTGTCCCAAAGCTCAGTGCACTGCCTCTCTCATAGTATGGCTACGACAAATGTTTAAAATGTGTTTTATTTACTCCAGCGTTCATTGCAAATAGGTTACAACAGCTTTAGTTCTTTGGGGGTAAATCTGGCAGGCAGATGTCTGGCAGCTCCTCAGAGTAGTAGTGAACGACCTGCACCAAGCTCTCCTGCTCATCCTCAGAGAGCTTTTCCAAGATGCAGGCTGAAGCTCCCTCAGCACGTTGACCCTGACAGTGTCTAGTCCCTTCTTTGGTCAGAGGACTATCCCCGCCGACCTTTTCTTCTCTAGATCTGAGGACCCTGGGCGGTGAGAAGTTCCCCTTAACGAGAACCTCTCTCGTCGATGCAGGGCAGGATTCAGGCCCCGCGCGCGGGAGCGGGGCGCGCGCGGTGGTTTCGCGCGGGGATGCGCGCACGCGCGCCTGCCTCGCCTCCCTCGCCCGCTCCGGTGCTACGTGCTTTCTTTGTCAATGAGGCGCCGCTCTGAGCTGCAGTAGCATTCGCGGCTCCAGCCGGAGCCCAACGATCCAGTGAACCCACAGGGATAGAGACCTGGGCACAGGGGCGGCGGCAGGAGGCACGCTGCACGAGCCAGGTCCGCGTCTCTCCGCGTCTCGCAGCCTCGCGCTCGAGGTGCAGTATCTGGTACCGGGGAGGAGACCGGGGCGCCGCCCGTCCCACCCTCGCCGCACCGTGGGAACCCTCATGCAACCCCGGTACTTGCACTCCTGAAGCCTCGGCTCCGTTGAGCCCGCCTCCGACCGAGGCAGGACGAGCGAACAGCTCGCACCTCCTGCCTCCCTCCGACTCCCGGGCCATGGCCCGAGATGCCCGGTGAGGAGCGGTGCGCGGAGGGCTGGGCTCCCCGGCGCGGTGTGGAACGAGGCAGCGGCCTGGATGTATGAACAGTCCTTATGGCTCTGCAGGAGGCGAAGCCCCAGGGCAGGAGCGAAGCTGGGCTGGCGGCGCGGGAGCCCAGGGACCGGCCCCAGGAGCAAGGGCTCTGCGGAGCGGGCGGGATCGCCGCGCGCTGCCAGGGCGTGAGGAGCTCCGGGACCCGCGGGTCCGAGAATGTGCTGCCGCTGCGGCTGCCGCTGCGGCCGCTGCTGCTGGGACTCTTGCTGCTGGTTGCCCTCTCCGGGCACTGCCGGGCTGACTCGGGTAAGCGCTTGGCAGCTGCTCTGCGCCCGCGGCGGAGTCTGGAGAAGCTTAACGGCGAGGTGGTGGGTGGTGGGCTCTTTGCAGTACCACTGGGCTTTTCTCTGCCCTTAGCAATTGCAACAGCGGGCGAGCTGTCAGAAATCTGTCTCTGGGAAGGCATCGTGGGCGGTGAAGAAAGAGGCACGTTCTTATCTTTATTTTTTTTTTAATTTCTGGACAAGTTGTAAATGCTTTCTGGTGGTCCCATAAACACGCTTCGTTTAGCTAGACATGGCGTAGTTAGGATAGCATAAAAGGGACCTGTTTAGTGGGACGTGTTGGGGATGTTTTATTCACTTTGTCTTAACTGCCAGGAATGACCTGAGAGTTTGAAGCAATTTCTGTATCAAATAGCGTTTCCCCCTTTGCTCATAACAGGATTTCCCCCCTTTCCTTTTGAGAATGAGGTACTTAAAATAATTGATTGCATTTTGCAAAAGGTTCAGGCATTGATCAAGTGTATATTTATTATTTGCAAGAGGCTTGTTGAAGAACAGTCATGCTTGATGCTCAGACTACCAACGATCTTTCAGAAACAGATTTCTGTAATTCCGTGGACAATTTTGTGGATCTACTATAACTATTTGGGCGGAATTATTCTGCCGAAGTGCTTTGAAACTTACACTGCGAGGTCAGCCATGGTCTTTGAAATAAGAATGATTACTATGACTCCAGTAAAGGACAAGCTTCTGTGTTTGTGATGGAATTCTGGGCTACAGAAACACTCAGCTTATCAAACACAAATCTCTTATTTTAGGTAATGAGTTTCTGTAGTGTTGCAGCTCTTAGTGAGGACCAAGGAGAACAGTCCCTCAACCCCTTCACCCCCCACCCGTGCCCATGTATTCCCTTTCCCCCTATCAGATTGAAAGTCCCGGTTTTGAAGGAGCTTATACTAGTTTTAAATTAAGTGTTATGGTTGGCTATATCTATATAACTGTTTAATTTTCCTCTGATTCACTTAACACTCACAGACACAAGGGGTCTGTGTGATAAGGAGTTTTTGTTGTGATTCTTCATATTAGTTCCAGAGTTCAATAGTTGACCTTCTGGGGATTCCAGTCCCCTGGCTTTATATATGTGACACACTATTGAGAGAGAAGTCATGAGGAAGGCATAAGGAAGTCACTTAGTGGCCACTGGCTCAGAATCACAGAGGTTTTGGTTAACACGCATCCAATTCTTGATAGTTCTGTAAACCATTTGAGAGCTTCCCCCCCCTTGGATGTTGCTCATTTGAAAGCAGACTGAAAACTGTTCAGCCATCTGTGACATGTGAAATTTAGCTTTTCTGTATCGCCCCATCCAGCCCCATGTCAGCCCATTTTCTTTGACAGGGTTTTGGATTTCTGATCTCCCTTCCAACCTTCGTATTTGGCTCCTTCTCAATCTCCGAGTCTTTGCTTGGCTCGTCTTTCAGTCAGCCAGAACCTTCTCTAGAGGACTTGTCATCTTCATCTTTTGCTCTTAGTCTGGGACCCCCCCCCATTTTTTCTTGCAATCAGAATGAAAGTGAATGTCATTCAGACAATTGTTCTCTGAGGCCCTTTATTTTCTTGCTTCTCATTAGAGTTGGTTTCCCTGTGCTTTGGGGGTGCCTTTTCTACTCTTACCCTCCATGCTGAGTTTTCCATGGACACGGCTACCTGTGGCTCCACTGTCTGCCTCTGAGCATCCTGTGGCTTTACCACGGATTCCATTCTCATGACTGCCTTCTTGATGGCAGAGTGAATACTGGGCATCCAGTCTGACCTTATCTCTTCTTTCACATGTTCTCTGACTTTAGCTTCTTCGGAGCCTAGGAGAGGCCTGGACCTCATACAAGGCATCTCGAAAAGTTTGTGGGAGAAAGCACTGTCAGGAGGGAAATGGGAGAAGAGGTGACTCTTGCTGGGGACATTTGACTTTCCACCTTGTCTGGAGCTTGCTCTGATGGACAGCTGCAGCTCCACGCTGATCTCTGCAGCATGTGTCTGATGCAGAGTTATCTGAGAGTCCGAACCAGTGACCTGGCACGTTTGGCTTGAAGTCCTGACTGCCTCTAAGCCTGTCATTTGCATCATTATGCTTCTTGATTTCTAACAAGGCTAAATCAAACATCTGCCTTCGTTGGAGAAATGGACAAAAATAGGATTGTTTCTAGAAAATACTGCCTGGAATCCTAGCACCTTGGTTGCAGGGCCTTTGCAGTGTTCTAAGTTAGCTCCACCACCACGCTCCTTGTCTCTTTGCCTGAATCCCACATAAAGGGAAATCTGCGGTCACACTTAGTGCTCTCTTGAAGGTACCCTCTCCCGACTCTGTCCCATGGAGCCCCTGCTCACAGGCTTCTGTCATTTCTATTCTAGGAGAGAAGTTTCTGAAGGGCGGTTCATTCTCTTCTGCCATCTGAGTTGCAGGGAACAGTGACAGTGTGCAAATCTGTCATCCTACCTTTCCTAACTGCCTCCCGTTCAGTTCACATCTGCAAACGTTTAATGTGTCCACTGTATGCAGGCACAGTGCTCATCCCTTGTGGGCCTCTGCTCAGTGTGACCTTGGCCTCTGTGACCCTTGTTTCTCTCTCCTGTGTGAAACAGGGGTAACAAAAGCACTACCATTATTAGGTGGGTGCACTGATTTGGTGACTGCGGCAAGTATAAAACAGTGATTGACATGTAGCTGCTCACAGACTGCTGCTGCTCTCATGCAAATGGTAGGAATTGCCTGCATGTTCGTTTTGCCAGATGGGGTGCTGGGATGGGGGGGTATGGACTTGAATATGGAGCCACCATTTTGCAGAAGTCTCTCCTGAAGAGGGACTTGAACTCTATCTACTACTATGTGAGCAGAGCTGATAAAGTCGGACTGCAGTTCATTTTAAGGAGGGGTGGGGGTGGGGCTCTGAAGGGTCGGTGGGTTGTCCAGGTCAAGGAAAAGTAAAAGCCTCCACCCAGAACGCAGGGTGGAGGAGGACCCAGCACCCTGCCTTGCTCTGAGGCTTCCCTCCTCCAAGGGTGGCTTCTGCAGCCACTATATTCATCCTCAGCCAGCTGTGTTTCCCTAGTGCTTACGGTGATGGACTAGGAACCTAGTAACAATTCAGCTTCTTACATTTCTTCCCTTCAACTTGGTCAATTCTGTTAGATTATTTCATTTAGTAACTCACTAATTTGTGAGCAGCTGCTTTATTTGAAGAAGGGTCTGCTGATGTCAGGGGTTCTCCAGTTTAGTACACCACAACCGGGAGTTAGCTTTACCCTGAATATCTTTGCTCTTCCCCAACCTTCTTTTACATGCCACCAAATCAGAGCCCCATTCCATAGATTCTACATTCTGTTCATGCATGCATTCATGCATTCATCTACCCATTCATTTCATCCAGTCATCCAGTCTGTGTTTTGATACTTCAATACCCTGGGGTGATAGTAATGAATCCAAATAAGGTCCCATTTTTACACTATTTGAAAGCGGTCCAGTGCTTTCCAAAGCTGACTGAGGATACGAATCACTTGAAGATTCTGTTAAAATTCAGGGTGTGATTCAGTTGGTCTGAGACAAGTGTCCAGATTATGTTGACGACTCCGGTCTACAGACCCCTTTTTAGTAGCAAGTAATAATAAATAAATATAGTGAGTTCTATAGGGAGAATAAGGCAGGGTGGGGGTTGGCACCTTTATACCCATGCTTATTTATACTGGATGGCCAGGGCAGGGCTGGGGATGAGATGACAAGGGAGCACAGTGGCTGGCTGGGTGGGGGAGTTTCCAGGTGGAGAGAGCATACACGCAAGGCTTGAGGTAGCTGGAGAATGGCAGAGAGTATGGTGCAGAACTGATGGACCAGAGGAAAGCAGTGAGAAGTGAGGCTGAGGGAGTCATGGGGCTGAAATCCAAGCTGAGGATGAAGACGATGTAGACAGTGGAAATGGGAAAGGGTCGGGGAGCAGAGGGGAGCGTGACCGTGTTGTGAAGACAGACCTGGTAGAATTATGTGATGAAGTTTAAGGGTAGGAAAGGAAGAGGAGAGGCTGCCACAGGAAGATCGCCAGCTTGAGGCCAGCCTTGGACACACAGTGAGATTCTATACAGCTAACTAAGCAGACACCATCCCCCCTTGCAAATGAAAAAAAAAGTGGATATAGTTATATATAATCACATTTTTTGTTCCTTTTAGCATTAAAGGTAAGGAAATTGTAACGTTAGTGCCCTCCCCACCTCAAATAGAAGTGGCCCAAACAAACCCATTTCAAGTTTTAACAGTATGTATCAATTATTGGCACTTTGAAGTCACTTGCAGGATAGCTCAGGCCTTCCCATTTTCCCACCCTACCCGTGACCAAGTAAAGGAGATCTTGGAAACAGGGAACTGTGCTTTAACACGGATGTGGAACAGGAGTTAGGGCTCCACTCCTGCCCCACATCTCTCCATAAAAGTCACAGTAGAAACTCGCTTCTCAAGTGCAGATGACAACTGGAGAAGCCCATAGCAGCTGACCTCGCCCGTCCTACATCACTGGACTGTGGCCTGGGAGCATGCTGAGTGCACGCACACCCACTTCGTTTTCACACACCCCCTCTCAATGAACAACAACTCTACTCTTCTTTAAACAAAAATGAATGGTTGGATTGACCTTAAAACATTTTCGTTGCTTGACAACATATGAGAGACGATCTCTAAACACACAGAGGGACACATTATTCAAGATTATGGGATGACTGCCATGGACAGTGACTCTTTGGGGATTTCAGGACCAAAGGAGCAGTCAGCACCTGGGTGATGTTGAGAGTTAGCGTTACTGCAGCTGCGGGGAGGTGGTGTTGAGTTGCATTGTTGGACAGTAGTTAGCAGGCACCTGGGGGCATACTAGGCTCTCACTGTGGGGGTTCAGGAAGATCAAACCAGACTGGGCCTTGTCCTTTAAGCAGCTGGTGGGTGGAGTGGCAGGTCAGTGAAACGCCCTCATGAGTCAGGTCAGACAG